CCTTTTCGCAATAAGCTTCTCAGATTTTCCCGTGAGAGGCAACACGCTGCACGGACTTACACCGCTCTGCAAAGGGTGGGTCGCTAGAGAGATCGAACAAGTGACTAGCGAGGAGCCAGTCCAAGTGCAGCCTCATGGGACGTGCCTTCGCGGGTCACTATGCTAGAACTGGAACTCACAGTTCCACCAGGGCTCTGCCACTTCAATGAGTTTGGTATTGCTATCATTCACAAGCCTGGTCTACAAATCGAACATTGCAAACGCTTTTTGGGCTTTCAAGCTACCCGTAGCTGCTCTCGCGCTCCAGTCACAAGGAGCTGTGTTGTCGGTATTCCGTAGGGTACGTGTGATGAAAGCCGAGTTGGTGATGGAAAAATCGATTTATTAAACTATATGAGAAGAAAGGAGCACTTTAGCTACTACTAACATGTATTTATAAGAATTGGTACTATTGTTAAATTCGGATGATTTTATTTTCTCCTATGTAAGCAGGTCTATATATACATAACATTTAGACCCAGTTTCTACCATATCCTTCTAACTAACTATGCGCATTCCCAACTAGAATTGTTGAGATTCATCTTATCTCCACCTAGCGCATACCACTTCCTAGTTAATAGTTGGCACTTCCACCTTTGTTTTTACAGAGCGAATTAAGAGCAACACCATGAGGAATTCTCATTACATTATCTACTGATTCAACAGATATTATAATATCACAATAGGTCCCCTTCGCCGATCCCTAGACTGATGACTTATCCTCAGGCAAGATATTTGCTACCCAGCCACGCATTGCCAGGTGTTACTTAGTTGTAGTAACGCTTCGACCTTCTGACTAGTAATGCCATCTTGTTCAGATTCATCTATTCCTTCCCATACAGCCTTGCCGTAAACATACTCAACATTACGCCCAGATATTAACCCAAACTTGAACAACGGTCAAACCGTAATCGAACGAGTTTGGTAGATGTAGAGTAAATTGATGATTCCTGTGAGTAGGGGGTATGAATTCAGCGTCGGATACAGGGTTCATTGTCACGGAATGTGGTCGTGATCTAATCGATCGATCGAAATATAGGGAGTTAATTCTGATTTCCCAAAGTAATGATAACGCAAGATTTACTACTATGCGGAATAGGAGCATTTAGAAAGAAAGGATATTTTTACAGGGGTATGACTAAGCGAACCCTGAGACCAGCATTATACATGGGCCGCCCACAGTGAACGGTAGGAGTTTGTGCACTAGATCCCGTAACATTCACGGAAGAGGCAAAGGTAAAGTGAGTGATAGGTGAAGTTTGTACAAGAACAGCGGCCTTCTTTTAGAGAAGGATTAAATTTGTGAACGATAGTTAACAGCTTAAACAGAAGACATTGCGTGACGAGGACTCCTTCACGCTGGGTAAATATGTACATCAGATAATAGAACAGCCCTAATATCTGTCTCGAACAGTATTACTGCGCAATTCCTATGAAACAACCCTATGTTCCTGAGCCTGTCTTACTTGTTAAGGAACTCGATCTGACAGCAAGTTGCGTATTGTTGTGTGACTCCCCACGAGACACCATCCTAGAGTTCACTACGTTTATCCATGAAATCCAATCTGCTGGAACTGCAGATCAAATGTGCACTCGGCTTCCGAGTACAAGGCCCTCACACGATGTCGCAAATGTAGGGGATCCCACCGATCGGATTCCTGGGACTGCCAAGCCAGACCCAGAGAGTCTAGATCGATGACAAAAAGCAGCTCGTGTGGATCCACCACATCGAACAAGGGAGGTTCTCAGTGGTAGCTCGTGCTAGAGCTGCAGCCAAAAGGGCCGAAGAGACGATCATCACCTCAGCGAAGGATGTCTCGATGGCCGAGGGATCAGGTTTCGGAGTGCTGGAATCTGAAGAAGAATCTTGAGGGCACAGCAACCTCGAGGATGCCTCTCACAGACATCTACTAACTAATAGCAGGATACCGGCTGGATCAAAGATGCCTGCTTACCCATCTATTGCTCCCAGCAGAGATGGAGTAAATTTGTCATCTGGAAAGTGTGACGGACGACGGAATGTGTGGGGAGCGTATTACTTAGGTCCAACATGGAAGAATCTTCTATCTTTTGGAGTGGTCATTCGTTTCTGTTTCAATCAGCTGCACCTCTGGCAACAATTCACAAGGTCGGAATAAGTTGAGGTATGGGAAAAAGCGCAGGAAACCCTGCCGGCTCCACCGGTCCTGCACCCATAGTGCACATGGAGCTCCAGCTTAGAATCAATTTAAAAAAAATAAAAACAAACATGGTCATCACAAGATCCCTCCACGCAACTCCTTAAGTGGAGGGCGAGGGCTATACACCTATCAGTGGTGTCTTCTACAAACCTGGGAGTGAAATATTCTCCCAGAGCTGAGATCCAGTTACGAACAAGGGTGGGATGAATTTTTCTTGACGGATTCTCGGCCTGAAGGAGTTGTACCCGGTATTTTGGTCGAAAAATCGGCCAACGGAGATTTCACAACCTCAAGAAATTCGAACAAAAACTCATCACCACTAACACACAATTCACGAATGGATTTAGGTCTGTCTGGGGGTCGTATTCAAATATCTGACATCTCTCAAACTCCTTTTGTATTTGCGACAAACCATTTCTCAGTCGACCCTACACCTGCTACCCACCTCCATCATCGTCACATCACCTACCTACACACGCCCTAATGGGGAAAGTCATGATGGAAACGGGACGTGTACAAAGGAGGAAGAAAAGGGAAGGTACACCGAGGGGATTACAAAAACCCCAATGACGACGATCTATCGGTACGATATGAAGGTGCAAGGCTAGGGCAACGATGAGATTTTGGTCGGCATTTATATTTCGGAGTCAATGAGGATCTCAAGGGCTCGGGCACGTGGTGGCCAAGGTTGAGGAGGAAATTGCGCTACGGCGTTTATACAGCGGGTTTCTGGACGGTCAGGCATGGTATAATTCAACACATAGGTGAAGTTTGAGGTGGCTCAGTCGTTTCTGTAGAACGAGGCATATCTGAACCTCTATAGCGGCCCTGCACCATAGTATTGAGTGCAGATGCAATGACGTAGCAACTTGTCAGTATTGTATCGAGCTACCCTGTATGGAATGCACGGGCCAAGTATAAATTGTGTACCATTATAGATCTGTAGATGCTTTCCTTTCCTTTTCTTCGTGAGTTTAGAATCTACTATGCTACAATCCTGATCTGAGTCTCTACTTGATTCGAGATTGTCATCGCTCCGCTCGTGCTCTTTCCGGACTCTCATAGCTTTACGGTAGTGAAGCTGATCCGGCCCGGCCCGGCCTCACTCGTGCCCAAGCTCCAATAGGAGTGTGATGGGAGTCATGTACCTAGCACTTTTATGGACAAAATAAAAAAACTTATTAGGCTTAGCATAGGCCTAGGCCCAGCTCATGCACATCTATTGTTGAATGATAGGCTAAGGTTGCAGGTATAACGACGCAACCACTAGTCGTGAGTCTCTAAACCACACGCATCTTGAACTATTTTAATAATCAACTTGCTAACATTAGAATGAAGCTAGATTAAAAATGATGGAGACGCCGGCGCTCATCCGAGGGGACATAATGATATATTTTGGGGATGGTATGAAATGAGGGAACGAGGTTATATTCTGGTAAATAAATAGGAGCCTTTCATGTCTCTGCCTGTTATTTGAAGATTTAATTTGCATCTACCTATGAGTACAGCTTGAATCAAATGCCACTCTAAGACATACATAGTCACGGTGTGCTTTGGGTAGGATAAAGAGCGCCATCTGCCGAAGTTATGCCAGTAATGACTAGAAAGTGAAATGCGAGAGGATGTTACCTGATATAATAGATGGAAGACTGGACCGGCGAGGTGCCAGGAAATGAAGACGAGAGAGATGAGGAACGGACAAAGTAATATGACGAGAAGGTACGGGGTTGCGCAAAGGATGAACTAGGAAGCATATAAGAATATATGACTGAGAGGCTTGAGAACTATTTTGTGGTGGCTCCAGCTTGCTGAAGTACAACTAACTATTTGACACAATCCAACTACGACTATAGCAAGCTCTCCTCATGACTCATCTCCTAACCTCACCACATGAGTGCGAATGTGAGGGTATGCCAAATACGTACTCCTTGGAATTTCCGCTTAAATCCTGAGTGTCAGATTGGAGCGAAGGCGTACGGGCCGAAGTGTAACTGTAGTGGAGAAGCGGTTGGGTAGACTGCAAAAGATGACTAAAGGTCTACTTTGGATGATTTAAAGGAACTATAGGTTTGAAGTTTGGTTTGTAGAAATATGCAGAGGGACTAAAGGTTCGAGTGATTTATAGTGGTAAGTAAAGGCACTAAAGGCGACCAGAGATGATCCGATGGTGTTGGGTATGGCAGAGAACTAAGCGAGTAATATAACCTAGCTAATAGACCAAGCCTTGATGCATATACCATATGCCAAGACTATTCTGTTGTCATAGCAACATGGAGAGAAGGGTAAAATTATATGCTAAAGTAAGCATGGGAAAGGGAATCCTTAGGCTGAGCCAAGAATGTCTCGCCAAAATAGGACAGGCATCAAAGCTTTCCAAAAGGAAACACATCATTACAATTCAAATGATCACAAATTTCGCATCTCTTAGATGACCAGAGAACCTGCAAATACCATTACTTGTGTACATGGGATGGAAAGAGCATGAACTGCAGGCATTTGTGAGTAAGCTTGAGATAATAGCACCGTTCTTTGTATCATTGAAGAGCACGTATCCATATCTGACTATAAAGAGCTTCTTCTTGTCCTAATCAGCAACCTGGCCTTAAAAATCCTAGATACACAGCACAGATATGCAGAGATATCTAAAAGATAATGTCCCCTAGTTATGATGTTGTATTGCTCGTTCTTCCAACCTACTACCCAGCTGAAACCAACGACATGATTTTGGGTCACGTGGATATCAACAACATGGCAAAGTTGTTATCTCTAATTATCTTGATTTTAGTCGGAATATTCATTTATTTCCACCGGCAATCTTGGCGAACATTGATAGTAGTGACCATCTGAATACATCACAACGCCTAAAAGATTATTTCCTTCATCCATAAACGAAAAATATGGAGGATATCGTCCTGGAAAATTATTAGTATAGAGAGCCAAGCTGGCTATGAAATTTGCTTACCTCTATCATTATTGTAATTTTTTAGAGGAATTCTAGAAATATAGCCATTAAAATTTTCTCCATAGTATAGATTAGGTATGGACGCTTTATCTTGATTCGCACTTGGTTTTTTCAAAGCTTTAAGACCCGTTTGAATGTCCTTCCAATTGATATCTTGACCGAAACATGTATATTTTTGTACCGCAGAAACCATTGATGAAAAGCACAGGAACGAAACGAGTTGAGTAATGGTTTGGAGCTTCATTGTAAGAATGGGCGTCTTTGCTTCTGCTTGAAGAGTTATTTGACTTTGTAAATGTTCACTTATTTCTTCTCAGTGGACACCAAGTAGGAAAAGTCGGCCTGAGCAATATCGAAAGACAGATGAGAGGGGCTCTGGAAAAGGCAAGAAAGAGTAGATTGTGGAAAAAAGAGTGTTAACGTTCTCCAAGGAAGATGAGTGAGGTAGAAGCTGCTGGATTCTATGGTTTGGAGGAGATAGCAGCTGTATTTATATATGCTGAATTCGTGTCAAGAGAAATTCGATATAATACACATGGGCAAAATGAATCATGGGGGATGTGTCAAATGGCTCAAGCAGGGGAGATGAACATCCTTCAGTTTATCTGAATCTGCTGGCTGAAATTGTTTCTGCAAGACTTAGACTTCCCTGAACTAGATCCTTGCTCGGAAAACTTGTTCATTCATCTCCATCCCGAACCTTTAAAATTTCGTGTCAGTCATGTCGGCTCGAAGGAATGTTTCAGGTTTCCTTGGGACATGGTAACTAATAGCTTGGAAGACACAAACTTTTGATACTTGATCTTGAAATAATACATTGGCGACATGGTTCTTAATTCTAAAATTTCTAGAGAATAGTACGAGCCTAAAATTTGGAGAGCTTTCAACGTGGTGATCTAATTGCTTGTTATATCTTGGCACTACCTAATATACACTACACTCATCTGATTCAGACTTGATTCCTGTCAAGCCAGAAAGCTTCCTTGAATCTGATGGATACCAGTAGACCTATAAGGATACCAATCATCCACCCAGAATTCCCAGAAACCATCAAAAAAACTAGAAATTAATTTGATGCATACCAACTGAAGCCAGGATCAGACTGTACATGAAAACTTTGAGTCCATAAATAATATATCAGGAGCAATATACTCTATGAGCCAAGAGCAATCGGCATATCGCCCCCACGTTAATCAGTTTGTGATAGGTTGGTAGTTGATCGGATCAAGGCTGGGTATATCTCAATTATTGGTCACTTGATTTCCAAACCAAGCTTCGATCTGAAGGAGTTATACATATATTCTTCTGCTTATAGTATGTATTATATATTTGTTATATTTAAAATTAAGCCGATAAGCCGTATTCCAACTGCCGAGCAAGTTGGCGCTGCAAGAGGCCCAATATAGTAGATGAGAGCCATGATCTCGTCATTCCATAGATAATAATGAATCATGCATGCAGGTAGTCTCCCGACTAGAATTTATGGTTTAGTCGGTGTTTAGAAAAACAGTTCCGTCAGTATGACGCCATTTGGCCATTTGTTTCATTAGACAGTGTAGATTGGAGTTTTCGTTGTGTTTTCAAAGTCTCTCTGCGCCTAGAACTAGCCACTCAACTCAAGGATCCCACAAACTTGGACAAGCTTCCAGAGGAAAAGGGAAGTAAAGACTCGAATGACGTGGTGCCGAGATGGCAGAAAGAGTGGTGGATGAGGGATTTCTCTCGTGTGATCAAGTGTTGGTTAGAATCGTGTTTTGCTTTGAAATCGCCAGTAGTGTTCTGACTAGACTCCGAGCCAAGACCGGGCAGCTAAGATATATCCGAGAGTCCATGGTTATAAATGGGCGAACTCTATCGAAATATAGGTGTTCGAGCCTATGGCTGGTTCTTTACACCTCAATGACAAGCTTTCCGTCCGGGAATCGCATGGTGATCGGTATTAATTGGAATACATCGAGAAGAGCTGTATTTTCGAATTATCGTCAATTTAGGAGTTTCATATATACCTCTGAATAGCTCTTAGTAGTCACAAATCGAATGTTGCATTTTATAAATTCGTATCTCCTTAGCCTGATACACTGCAAGATAGGTTTCATGTTAAAATTTGAAATTTGAAATTTGATTCGCTTTTTTGCCACTACATCGGCATCTCCGTTTCCGAGAATCCTAAATTAACCGGTCACGAAACTTTAGCCATTTTTTCTTGCAGCTTTGGCCTTGGCCGACTTACTGAATGCAAGTTATGGAATCCCAAGAAGTATTTTCTTGGTAGGAGATTGACAACGCAGGCATCATTGATTTACGCGGGTATTCTCAATTTGATTTCATTTCACAAAGCCAGTTCGGGTATCCCGCGGGCCCATATCCATATCTATGACTACAATATTTTCAGAGGTAACTTGTTCGAGGCAAGGCGCCCTAATAATGCTTCTCTCAACTCTTTCGAGCTCCTAGGTCCTCCTTGATAAATAACGCTTCCTGTCCATCGTGGGTGAAATTGTTATGATATGAGGCGACCAGGTAGTCGAAGGTGGTGCACAGCGTACGGTCCAAGGCCCCAGTAAACATCACTAGTATCTTGGTTAGGTAATCATGTATTTAGTTCTATAGATGTATCCACAAAACTTAACACAATGCACTTATCATTCCGCAGTATGACTTCCGCATAGCTCAAAAACACTACAGAAATCCAGCCTGACAATATCTGCTACCTCTTATTCTCCTTCAATTCAAAATTGGTCACACTAGTCTTTAATTATGATTTATGTTGCTACCTATGAATATAAAGGCCTGTGGTGCTCTAGAATTATGCGCCCCCATTCCATCTAGGTTCCCAACACGATCTTCCGCGTCGAATGCAGATTGGAATACATGGGTAAACATATCTTCGGACTGCCTAAAAATACATATGATGAGCGACTTTTGAAAATTGGTAGAAATGGAGGAAGGAAATATTACAACAAGATTAAAGGGACGATTTGAAAGAAAAGCCGCATTGCTGATAGCCCATGGGCCGTTTCAAGATCTGAGGGATAGGTGCTTATGCGGTAATATAGCCATTCAGTGGCTAGTACGGCGCCGAAGGCACATATGCTCTTCATACAACATCTAGTGACACAACTACTGTCGATCCTGAGTGTCGACTCGAGTCTGCTAACCACTCATGTCGGTCACAAATGGCGACATATTGCCAGGCGACTCTAGGATAATGCCAAAGGTATAGATGGATTTTGAGTGCTATTGGAGAAAACAACTGCCGTCGCTACTAATCAGCAGGCTTAGGAGTACGGAGTCGAGACATTGCAGTTCAATAACTTGAGTAGTGCTGTAATGCGTCTTCGGACTATATGCACTATTCACTGTCATGACTTCAATAAAAAATACATGGACAATCTTGTAGGGTTGGTATATTGATTGTTGTCTTGTTACAGTTCTGTTTTACATTACGTGACCTATTTGGGTAATGGTTCCTTATCTAGTTTAGCGCTGGGAAGAAGCAAATAACTGTTGAAGTATCAGTTACTGAGCCTTAAATGACATGTGACTTGATTTGTAAGCTGGGCTAAACTAGGGTCTATAGAATGTATCGTAAATGTAGAACTCAGTGGTTAGTACAATAATTATATACCAAATAAGCTTTAGTCATTTACCGGCAGTACAGTCTTCTAACTATATCTTTCTTCAATAATAGCTTTTCTCTGTAAATAATGTTTGTTATTATTAATTCATTTTATTGTCCTGTCTGAGTCTATGACTATGTAGGACATGCAGGTCCTCTCTGCCTACAGGCCAAGGATACCTATACCAGTAGTATATACCCTCCTATGCCTCCCATACAGCTCCCCTCAAACAGTACCACCCCTCACAAGTCCTCATTCGATCATACACTAAGAGGAGCCCTTAGCCCTTCATTATCTCCCCTCTCCAGCCAACGAAACGATGGTCATTTGCGGGTGTATGGCAGCCGGGAAAATTCGCAAAAACCACTGGGTGCGGAGCTCTTCTAATACCGACATTAGGAATAAATCCGAAGACATATTGCTCCTTCTGAAGCGTTCGAAGAGGCCGGCCAGCTGGGCGCTGCAGACTTGTAGGTACCTCGGGAAATTCACCCTCTGTCTTTCTAGCCTCCTTCCAATTCATTCCCGAAGGTCGTGCCGAAATTTCGGAAAAGTCTTGAAAGAGCTTAATTGCCGTATGGTAGCCTAGCCCAACTTCTTTTGTACCGTTCAGGGCGCTGGGGATTGCTGTTGACTCGTCGACAAAAGAAGCTCTCCTGGCTAATTAGCCGAAATCTCTATCTTGGCGCCCACAAAAAATACTAAGTTGAAAACTTCTCGAAAATATCAGTCCCAGCATGGTCTTCAGAGATCTGTTCCCCCTCTCGCTCCACGTCTCAGCCGCCTGTACTTCCTCAAGGTGTATGACCCCATTAGAGCAACAGTCTCCCATAAACCAAGACCCCAACTTTGTATATCATGACTTAATTTACTCCTTGGGGGTATGCTTAGCGTCGTAAATTTGTAGTGAGTGATGGCCGGTGATGAATGACGCAAGCTCCTGTCTGCAATTTGGATGGCGCCTATATAAGTCGTTGAGGCGAGATGATGTGTGGTTAGAAAGAGGTTGAGGACTCAGAGGATAATGGTGACTGCTGCATGATTGAGAAGTCGTCAAATGGAGATATGGATGTATTTGCTTGCGACTTTGATTCGGACGTGATTCTTCTTGGCTATCCCAGATATGCAGAGCATACTGAGCCATTACACCAGCACCACTGTAAGGTGAAGAATTCGTCTTTGCCGGCAAATAATAGATGTTCCTCAGGAGGATTTAGGCAGATATGATCAATCAATGGCAATATTGTTACGAACTTGCCGCAAAACCCATCTACTTCAAGTAATTTGCCTGCGCTAGTCAGCGTAGGCTGCAAGAATCCCTAGGCTTGACAGCTATTACAGTTATCGACACAATAATTGTCTCTTTTTGAAGCCATCTAAAGCCTATTCAAATATAGAGCTATGACAAATGTTGGAAATCTAGATTCAGCATGTATGAAGGTTTTAATTTCTAGGAGTTATCATCAATATCAACTGTGTTGATTTGGTTGCATGTGGGTAAGATTGACTAGAGAATATGAGGCTCAGTGATATCCGAATTTCACTGGGTAGGAAATGCTGCCATTCAATAATTGAGTGGCTAGGAGGGCAAGACTGAACACCTGTACGCGGTGTCCTCTACGAACCTGGGAGTGAAATATTCTCCCAGAGCCAAGTTCAGACAAATTTCGCAATATCAAAGAAGTTGGCCCACGAGACAAAAATTCAAATTACTCCACCATGTCAATCTTTCACTCTCAAAGAGTCCGATTCTCAACTTAGCTTCATCAAGTCTACAGGTACGACCTAGTACATCCTCATTCCAATGACCACACCTCTCTCCGACCTTATCTGGCCTCAGTTGACCGCCAAATACACGCCCACGCCGATATTTTTACCCGTCAGAGGAAGCAAAGCGTGGCGCACAAATCTGGGAGACAATTCTCTGGTATGGACGTGAGAGGGATCAGGAAAAGCTGACACGATAATGCGAAGGAAGGATATAACCTCGAAGGGCGCAAAATTACGAATTGTGGCAAAGAGTTTTACGAATTAGGCTTTTAGTGCGCCAAGACTTCGCTTGCGAGAGTGAAGCTCACACTATAAAAACAAGCAAACGATGGAAAGTGCCGTGGTCGGCCTCCTGGTGATGTTATCTGGTATAGTTTGAGTAGCCTGGGCACCTACTCCACTAGGGAAGGAGACACCTCAGACCATATTTCGCGCAGAGAAAAGTTGATGGATGACGAAGGCATGTCTGGATAACTCAGGGTTTTTGAGACGTTCCCCTGGGTGGGTATTCACGGATGAGGGTTGACTTGGGGTGAAGAAAAAGCCGCCATAACTTTGCTGTGGTACTTGCAAATGAAATCTGAGGCGTGAGTGCTCTTCCTTTACGTTGAATCATTTATTCTGTACTTTTATTTGATATTGTGTCATAGCTAGATAGCTACTTTCGCAATTAAAATAAGACGTAAAAAAAAAGCCCCGTCGCCAAATTGAACAGTGCGAACGCTATTTGGGCTTCCACGCCACCCGTCGTTTCTCCCGCGCTCCAGCCTGCTGGAACTGCGGATCTAACATGCACTCGGAAGCCGAATGCAAGGCCATCGCAAAGGTGTCACATCTGTGGGTGACCCCACCGATCGGATTCCCGTGTCTGGAATGTTTCCTGGTCACGTGACATTATGTAATCTTCATCAGAGTTGGCATCATAAGGAGTTTTCGGTTGGAACAGGGGACAATCAACTTACATCTGACTTAACGACTTACCAGGCATTCTATAATACTAATTACAGGCGTGCTATGAGTCCCTAGTCTATTGTATGATACAGACGCACACTGGCTTGGCACTCCCAGAAAATTCGGACAGGTGACCACAGAGCAGCTCGCGTGGATCCGCCAGATTGAGCAAGGGAAGTTCACAAAGGTGGCACGAGCTAGGGCTACAGCCGAAAAGGCGATCATCGCCGCGGCGAAGGATGTCTCGATGGCCGAGAGGGCAGGTTTGGGAGTGTTAGAATCTGAAGAAGAAGCTTGAAGATACAGCGACCTCGACAATATCCCTTTTTGGGTCATCCACTAACTAATAGCAGAATACCTGTCGCCGGATCAATTGATGTTGGTATACAGCAGAGCAAGTACAGGATAAATCAAGTAATTAATGAAATCTTGAGAAAGAAGATCTCCTACTTCTCGCTGTATATATAGGAAATTGTAATTGTCAGCGCCGATCATAACAATCTATGTTGCTAAGCACCCATATCCAGACCGCAACATTGGCAGCCCCGTAGCTGGCTAGGCCCTATATTCCATCCCTCCCGTACTGGCGCAGACAGTACAGACACAAGGGATTAATCCCGTAACAATACCGGCTAGATCAAAGGTACCTGCTAAGTCATCTCTTGCTCTCAGCAGAGATGGAGTAAATTTGTCATTTGGAATGTATGATAGGCGAGGCAATATGTGAGGAACACATTGCTTGGATCTAAGATGGAGGAATCTTCTGTCTTGCGGAGTTGATTTGATTCTCGGGGGTTTCGTTTCTGTTTAATCAGCTGCACCTTTGGCAGCGATTCACGAGGCTGGAACGAGTTTAGACTATAGGAAAAGTTACAGGGTACTTTACCGGCTCCACCGGTCCTTCACCTATTGTGGATAAAAAGCTTTAGCTCAGGACCTATCCGTCATTAAATAAATAAACAAACTTCAGTCATTGTTATGATATGAGACAACAGGGTAGTCGGGGCTAGGGCATTGCGTGTGGCTCAAGGCTAGAGCAGACATCACTAGTGTACTGGTTAGGCGAGCACTTACATAGTTTCATAGATGTACCCACAATGAATGGATACAGGTTCAGTCTTATACTTTCTGTCCATATACCTACAGCATTGTATAGTATGAGTCTATTCACTGGCAACAACTAACTACAACATCATCCACTCCTCATCACTACGCAATGTGACTTCCGCATAGCTCATAACCACAACAGTCATCGCCAAACATAAAAACGATCTTCAACCTTAAAGCTAAGGAGGTATTTAATTACCCAAAATTTCTAGTCAAGTAGTTGTTTCAGTGTCTACACATTGTATGTGAAATATCGAAATAGTTTCTACATGGCATCAATTGAACCACAAATGTACAATAAACTTTCGCATACGCTTATTGAATACCAAAATTGATAAAATGTACCCCACATAGTAAATTACAGGAAAAGAGACTAAATTATAGATCATGGGTGACTGTTTACCAGATTAAGCTTTGAAGTTTGTGAATGTCTCAAGCCCTAGGAATCGAAGGATAGCGATTAGTAATAGGTGGGGATAGGTAAAAAAGACACATTTAAGGAAAATCTAATGCTGAAAGGTTTATTCCAGGATTAACTTTAGCAGCAGTCAGTTGAGGGAAAGCCAGTACTTTAAGAGCTTTATCTAAAGTTTATCAGGATATGTATGAGATGTATGAGATGTGACTGGTAAATGTGGGAGATAAATTTCTTAATTGCAGACGAGGAGTCTCTAGTACTCATTTTCATAGCTCCTGACTCTACTCCAATAAAATGGCTTATCAGTTTTCAAGTTGAATTCGCTCGAGTCGTCGGTCAATGTATTGAGGCACCAGAATCCCCTCCAGATGAGTTTGTTGTTTTTACTAATTTTTCCAGCATTGCGAAAAGATAACTTCATTTGATATATATATTTAGGCACAACACCTTCGGTCTCAATTAAAACATCACCCCTAATCTCACCCGACTTTGATCCACAAACTTCACTGATGCTTGATAGATGCCAGCGCCCACGTAAGGCTTTTTTTGTTATTACTGAGGGATGTGCTACAGCATCTTTACGGCGAGCGTCAATGAGATCTTTGGTTAGGTGATGAATCACGCTCATTGGCTCATTTGTAGTTAAAAGACTTACCATACTTCCGTCGCGGAAGAAGCGGAGGTACCGGTAGTATGTCACAATGTGGACTGGTGTATTCCAAGAACTCTGGGCCGGATCGGACTGTCCAGGTCTCATGTAATTGACAGTACTGATGTAGCAGCCATTGAAACGTATTCTTGGTCGTAAACGGAACATTTGACACCATGATGATCGATAAACCTTATGGAGTAAAACCTCTGAGATAGTATTCTTTTCGAACTGAATAACCTCATCGTGTGAATTGCTGCTCGGGCTCCGACATGTAGTTTGAAGGAGTTGCCCGCCAAGGACATCTCGTTGCCATTCAAAGTGCATTGCGCCGAAACCAACCTCAGAACTGAGACAGACCTTTTTCCATATTTGCTCTTCTGTCGCCACGAAATATGCAAGTTTCTTGCATACCTGTGCCACTCTGGCAAAGCTAGCTACGTCTATGACAGCTAGATTCATAAAGATATGAACGATAATTTCGTCCGGAAGTTCTGTGATAGGGCATGGTAGAGACGTGTCTCTCGGGTCTGACAATACTGACTCTACTGAAAATTCAGAGAAGCCAGAATTCATTTCTCTGGTAACATTTTGACCTGTGCTAAATGGTAATTCTTTAGAGCCAGGTTCTATGGGCTCGTTGGATATGATGTTGTGAGTGACAGTCTCAGAGGATAGCGGAAAATGTTTATTTTGGTACATACATTGCACATCTTCATTAATCTACTTGTATTAGGTTCAGTGTCCTCAACAATGTGGGAATAATTGTTCAGCTTACGCGGAAAGCTCTGCGGTAAAGATCAAGGCTGTCTCCCAGATGACCCTGATCTTCCCTTTCTACAGCTTGCTCGTATAGTAATAATGCAACTTGCGGGTCCTTATAACGCGTCTGTGAAATTTTTTCCCTATCAGTGATCTCGGCACAATCACTGGACTTAGATGATTGTGTAATGATCTGATGTTGCTTTAGATTAGTTATATTAGGGGAGGAATGTGGTTCTCCTGGTGTCAGAGTTGGAGCAACTGAACAGCTCGACTGTAACTTTACTCTGGAAGAAACCTCGGCGAGCCATTCTTGACGAAAGGTGTCCAATTCTGGATTGTATTGTTCTATCCGTTTTGAGGAATCCATCAAGGGATCCAATGTTATCCACATTATTTAGTGTGCCTGATTTACAACCCTTACAGTCTTGTATAAATCACATGACTTCCAAGGAATACTCTGCCTGCTTTGACACGACTGTGACCAACTTCGTAATGTTACAGGAGAACAAAGGCTGAACACCCAGCAGTGGTGTTCTTCGGGAACCTTGGAAGGAAATTTTCTCTCAGAATTTAACTATAATAGAATTTGAAGCACTGAACAAGTTGGCCTACGAGGCAATGATTCACTGCTCCTAACCAAATTAATATCTCTCTCCTATAGATGTCGATTTCGGCAGTAATATCATTCAATCTACACGTACGAACTAATATATCCTTATTTCAATGACTACGCCTCGTCAGATCAATCTCTGGCCCAACTGGCCTCCACATACACGCCTACAAGAATATCAATGAGTGCAGAAGGAAACAAATTGTGGTGTACAAATCTAGAGGGAAGGTTTTTGGGATGCATGTGAGAGATATCTGGTCAAGTGGAGATGACGATACAAACATTGGATATAATCCCGAAAGAAGTGAGATTTATAATACTGACGAAGAGTTTTACAATATGAGATTTGTTCACGCCAAGACTAAGGTTGCGAGAGTGTACGTGGCACTGTAAAACGCCGCCCTGGCTTGATGGTGCAGTGGTACAACATCTGGGCTGGCCTCCCAAGTAGGCTTTGGATGGCTTGCACACATATCCTAAATAAAACAGGAAATTGTTAGGTAGCTGGGAGTCTGACCTGTGACAGGCGAAGTGTATATAATTAAAGGAAAAGATAACTCAGTAAAAATAGATTAATTGTTAAACTTTAGTGCAGCAGATCGATTATTGTGTAGTAACTTTATTACTAAAGGATGGTCTCTAGATATCACAAAATCTAATGTCTCGCGATGCTCGCGTAGTATACTAATCTTTACCTTCACGTGATGATTACGACTTGGTCTGATACAACCTATTTCAACATTATTCTAGGACTACATACACTGATCACGTAGGACTTGATCACTTGATCTCTAAGTATTGACATCCGCTAGAAACATATAACCTGCGATTCTAAATACTAAATACGAGCACCGACCGAAGCAAACAGCCCACGTACGTGTGGACAGTCCCTACTTTTCACAAGAGACATTTTCCTATCCAACTTCTTCGGTGGTTACTCCTGGCATTTGACAGAGACCGCTAGCTCGAATATGGTAAAACGCAACTACATTTCTCGCTGTGCATATGGGAGACTATTCTCAACACCTGTCAGTGATGTGCCCTACGAACCTCCAGCTCTCACTGTAAAGTCTGCAGAGCCGAGATTGAGTAACTGATTCCTCACTTCGATGAGGATTCCCAATCGCTTTCGCGATCTGTATCGTCTTCATCTCTCAACACATTTCCCGATCACCACTATCATGAAGCTAACCACGATCAGATCAGATCAGATGGTAGGGTCGGAGCCCTACTCATCACCAACCCTTGATCATGGAGGAGATGCCATCCGATGAGTTTCCGGAGCGTATCCAGCACCCGATACGGAGATGACAGATTGGATCAAGTCGACCTTGAATGTTAAAAAGAAGGGAGATATAGATGATTATGCGCACCTTATGTGGTCCCGGTGTCTAGGCCTCGCCTGGCTGGGGCTGCAGGTTTTTTGAGACTTTTTCCCACGCACGCAGTTTCCATTGCTACCATTTTTTTTGTTTTTGGGTAGAAGGTTCCATAAAAAAGGTGGCCGAATTCGACGAGTAAACACTGAGCTGAATGGCTATTCATCAAGGGCAATATATCAATAATCTTTCAAGTAACAAAAGAGGTAAGGAGCACTGTACAAGGTGTGGCCTGGATCAGAAAGGAGCACAATGTGCTAGATAATCATAGACTCAAGTAGTACAACCAACACACCTTCCCTCTGTTGTAATTAAGGGAGTAACATGACTGCATTACAATAAACTGTTCACATTAGAATAATGTGCACATGCGCCATGGGATATGATTGACCTAAATCATCACTCATTGGTATGACATAGTATTTCCCAATAGATTCTTAAAGGTATCTATTTGCGCTAGGATCTCTCACATCCTTCCTTTCTCGGTTAGACAAGGACAGATGTTGGAACATCCACTAGTGTGCAGAACCCCCTTATTCATGTATATAGAAGAAGGTCCTGTCACGTAGATAAATTAAGCAATTCATACAATAGGAAATTCAAACAATCTCCATATTATTTACACACTTAAGAATACTAGGGAATATCCTCAAGTTCTTCCATTGATCCAAGTCCTAAGAGTATAACTCACGAACTTTACTTCTCTTAAAGCCATAGCTACCTCCTTCCATACCTTCATCCTAACGGTACGTCATTCCAGCTCAGCATAGCCTTTCAATACCCTCCAGCGTCCGCATATTTGCTCGGTCCGCTAGAAGTCGTCCGGCAGACAATCGCCCACGCCTTTGTGTCTGTCCACGCTGCCACAGGTTTCACAATATTAATTCTTACACCTATAGAGCTCGTTGCGGACATTGTGCGTCAGGCTTCCATAATGGACTGTATGTGACGCCCACTAAGTGTCTTAACTGTGCAGGCCTACACGCTGCCTCATCTCTCGGATGTTCAGCCCGGCCTTTTCGAGCTAATGGAGTATTTGTTTGCCCTAAATAGGAGAGAATACGGGTTATGGGCCAGGAGGGACGTGTGACGGCTAGTAAGCCGGTAGATTGCCTGTAGCCTGTGATATTCATCTCATGCATACTTATTACCTCAGCGCTAAGATACGTTGGTATTAAGAGTCTGGTACTCCCCGTGCACGAAACATCGTTGGTAACTAGCCCACACTTTAATAGTGGGAGCCGGACTAGAGGACAGAGACTAGTGTTTGAAATATTGGAATCATGTATATAAATAGGGCGTTGAGTGTAGCAGTAGTCTTGTTCTTCAGTTAGTAAATAAACTTACCTTTCGACATATGAACGCCCAAGCTTTATTTATCGGAACTGTTACATATTTACTAACTCTCACAATCGGAAAGTCTGACTGTTCAGCAAATTCAGTAAACTCAGTTTTTTCAGTCATCTCAGTATTATCACTATATTCAGTTATCTCAGTATATTCAGTCATCTCGATAAAATTCAGTATATTCAGTTATCTCAGTAAATTCAGTAAATTCAGTTATTTCAGTAAATTTGTTTCATTCCACTATGACAGACGAGTCATTAAAGCAAGAATTAATTGAAATGCAAAAAAAGATCAACGAACTTCAGGCTTCTAACTTGGCCAGGCAACAGCCAATGCAATTCGAACAGGTTATCATCGAAAAAGATCCACCTACAGGGGGGCAAGGACTGAAGCCGACTAAGCTACCAGAGTTCGATGGTAATAAGGGCAACTATTCATCGTGGAGAACAGCAGTCCTAGATATTTTTAGAATGGACTGGAACGCTTTCGGTTACGACGATTCGAGGGCATTTGTAATGATATACACCACGCTTAAAGGCTCAGCATTAAACAAAGCCGGCTCATTTTACGAGGTTGGAGGAGTGCACGGAACTAGAAAGCCGGAGGACTTCATTGAGTTCTTAGATAAGCTATACCTCGATCCCTTAAAGGCTGTAAGGGCAGGTAGGGAACTGCAGGCCATGAAGATGTCTGAGAGACAGCGGTGGCCAGATTTTTTTGCAGCTTGGACAAACAAATTGACAGAGGCACAAGGAGATCTTTGGGACGATACTAACGAGATATCAATGCTCTGGAACGCCCTAAACAAGGATTTGATACTGGCTCTTGCGGGAAATACTAACTTGCCCCATAACAATTTCAATGTCTGGATTAGACTGGTAAATCAGGTAGCGCAACAGCTGGAAATGGCAGACAACTGGGTGGGACAGAATCAACCTGTCCTAATACGCCAAAGGAACAGCTATTCTGCTACAGGACCGGCAAATTATGCGAATAATGGCAATAAATACCCTCGGGAAAATACAAGTCCGACTGACTCATCTGGCGATGTAATTATGGGTGGAATAAATGCGACTGGTATAACAAGCACGGATAGACAGCGTGCCAAGTGGAAAACCCATGCACAGCTAGATCAATTAAGAGCAGAGAGGAAATGTTTTCGTTGCGAAAGGGTGGGTTGCTCGTCAAGAAAATGCCCACTTCTGCCCGCACGAAATCCGAATAAAGCGAATATACATATCAATCTCGCTAGTTTACCAGAGATCGACCCCTCAGTGATCGATCCAGAAGGACAAAAAGGATCGGTAAGGGGATATTTGAGCGGGTCGGAAAACTAGAAGCTCCTGTACACAGTCGCGCACGGGAGCCCAAAACAAGTTATAATAAAGAAGATAGGTTGAATACAGATCCATTTCTGATTAATGCATTGTTAAATGATACTTTTATGGTGCAAGCCTTAGTAGATAATGGATGCCTGTGTTCTGGAATCATTAGTGATGAACTAACTGAACGATTGAACTTGCCGCGCATAATAATACCCCCACGAGCCCTTGAGACAGCAGAGAATTCTTCGAGGACTAAACCTGTTGTTAAATACATAACCCACCTGTCGCTCGACCTCGATGGCTTTCATATACCTAAACTTTGGCTGTATGTCGTTCCTTCAAGCACACACAAGATGATTCTAGGAAAAAAGTGGCTTGAAGACCAAGACGCAATAATTCATTCAAAGGACCAACGTCTTGAGCTCAGAAAAGGAAACATGAATATATATAGTGTTCAGAGATGGAGACAAAATTTGAGACAAGTGCCCCATCCAAAATATTCATCAACTGAAGATTTGATGTCGATGAGCGACTCAGTGCCGATCGGCAAAATTACAATAGAGGATATAAGTAAAGCACTCCGTAAAAAACCAATGCTCTCGGAAAATGACGCCAAAGACCGTCTACCGGAAAAAGTAAAGGACTTCGCCCAACTTTTTGCTGATAGCACCGGAGCAAATAACTTGCCCCCATTGAGAGATAACTT